TTCCTCCTCTTTGCCGCCGAAAGGTCGGACTGGAGGTTTCCCTGTCCCGGGGCTACCGAGGTCGCCACTTCCTCCTCCAGCGCCAATACAACCCTCGACTGGACCGGAGGCAGAAGAGTCCGGCCGCAGCATCTGCCCTCCTAAGCCAGACTTTAAAAAGCCCATTCTAGTCAACGATCCGGTTGCCGTGGCAGGGGAACACATTCCTACGCTGGTTGCAGCAGTAGAAGATGCCAGTGTCAAAGAGTCAGCAATGGCGAGACGGCTACTCGTGAACAAAGCCTTGCCCGCTTCCAGACTGGACGAATACGAAGGCACGTGGGGTCCGGCAGCGATCAAAGGGCTTGAAGGCGTCTGACCGGTGATCATCTGCTGCAGCCGTTCGTTGTTCTCTCGCAGACTTGTCACCTCTTCATACATGCGGGATAACTGGTCGCGTAGCTGATCAACCTGTTGGGAAGGGATGAAGGGATGCAACCTAAAAAGATGAAACTGTACGTCTTGAGAGTGGGTTAGAGTAGCTTCCATTTCGTTTGAAGAGACAATTGGAAGAGATTCGTAAGTCGGTTCCACCGGGGGCTGTGGGGGGGGCCTTGGAGCTGTGCCTGTAGATTTGTGTGAATAGGTCCTGCGACCTCGAAGAAGCATTGCCGAGCTTTCGTTCGTCAAGTGACGGAAATCGTCAAAGCAGGACACCATGCTTGAGGATAATTCACCAAAACGCAAAGACATGAAATGTGGCCGGCCACAAACCTACCTACTTCTTATAGTCCTCTCTTGTTTTCGAAGGTATGAATACCAAGATGGTGTGGCCTTTTGTGTGGGTTTGAACTTGTTTTCGCAACTTGGTCATATTGGTACATTCCTAGACGTTTCGCCGACATCGTTAGTGAGTATCGCCATTCTTAGCACCACACAACAACTCGTCAAAAAGACAAGTGAAGCCGATCCTTTGACAAAACGTGTGCTAAACAATTGTGGTATCTCCCTTTCTTTTCTGTGTTATTCACGTTTCCGGTATCATCCTATCATGCCCTCACTATTACACTTGTTTAGCACACGATGCCGGCGAAA